ACACGCATATAGCTAGTGAAAAGTGGCCGTGTGACAAACACATGTGTTACCTAACACGTCTGTAGTTATTAACAAAACACACCGATGATAGTCAATAAACACGCTTACACGGCTTATCTTAGTAACCTGGCAAATATTCGAAAACTAGGAGGTGTGTTTCAAAACACGCTATTCAACCTTTTGCGTGTAATTGAAAACACACTTAGTCATGAAATGCGTGTTTTGCTTACACGCCTATGGTTAGTGAAAAGTGGCCGGATAACTAACTAGTTGGTAAACTTTTTTTACAGTGTGTTGCCGTTTTCAAGTCAATCATGCGAATATTTTTGTAACCATTCTCAGTATCTCTTACGAATCAGTACTTGCGGCGGAAATGGGTTAATTCACATTCATTCGATGTTGAACGAGCATAAGGTGCAGATACTATTCTGGGTACAGTTTCAGAAGTCATTGGGCCTGTTGATAGATGAAGTCGTATGAGCCACTCTGGAAGGTCTAAAACTGTGAATTCTTTCATGAGTATGCACTATACAGCGTATATGCACATACAAATATAGAAGCGAAGGAGTTGAAAATCAGCACTTTATGATCCGTTACCTTGAAACCCGCTTTTAGCGTCTACCGGGTAACTACAAGCTGTTATGATTTTGTTTGTACTGATGACTGAATTTCAGTGTGTGTTTCTGTATAAGCAACCTGCAACACAATTGTAAGTAGGTACTTACATGAGATAATGCATCACATTGTACATTGAATTAAATACGTCATCGAATACGTCATTGAATTAAACACGTCATAATTAAATACGTCATTAAATCGTCATTTGTTTCTATACCTACTTATCTTTTTCATTTGCCGGCCATGAGACAAGGCCGCGGCACCGAACAAGAGGGATAAAGATGGCAGTGGCGTGCACCACTCTCCCCCTCTCTCTCCCTCCCTCCCTCCCTCTCTCTCTCTCTCTCTCTCTCTCTCTCTCTCTCTCTCTCTCTCTCTCTCCCCCTCTCTCTCCCTCCTCGTCCACGCGTCGTTTCACGGCATGCTCGGACCATGTGGCGGTGACGGTGGTGCGTTATTTTTACCACCTCCCGTCTCCCCACGTCGGCCGCCGCATACGACACCGACCGACCCAGTGACGTCACTGCCAGGACAGGGGGCGGGCGAGTTACGTCACCGTCACCCACGCCCATAGTCGTCCAAGTTTGGGACCGTGGGAGCTATTAGAAGTAAGGCGATACTGGAAACTGGAACTAAGCTTAGAATATATTTCCCGTGATGGCTAATTATGATGTTAAGTTTGAAAATGTTGAAAGCTAATCGGGAACAAAACTTGCCCTGATTAGAATATTTCTATTCCATCCTATATATCTCTTTCTTTCTCTGTTTCATCGTCCTCCCACTATTTCTCTCTTCTTTTTCCTTTTTTCGCTCGTCTTCTCTTCTTAACTTTCTCGCACCATCCCCACCGTCTCTCGACTCGGTCGTCACTCACGAATATCTCTGGTCCAGCAGGTTACAGCCAAAGATCGACCGGGCCTTTAGTACCCGCATTAGTCTGGCTAATTTCCGGCCCGGTCTCCCAAGGAGTTCTCGGGCTGTTCTCAGCCGGTCGACTGACACTGGCCGGCAGACGTCTCGACCATTAGTTCCCCGGGGCGGTGCCGTGCCCTCTGACTGGTCCAAATCCAGCACGGACCGAGGGCGGCCGGTCCACCCACCTGGCTGACCGGACCAGAACGCGACAGATTAGCCCATTACGACGGGACGACTTGGCTCTCAAAGACGTCACCCGCGCCGCCGCCGCCGGCGCGAGGTCTGATGAAATGGATGGTCTTTGCGAACGGAGCTTTTAGCAGACACGCCAGTATCTGTACCGCCAGTATCGGTGTTAGTTATATCACAATATGAATATCCGCAAAAGTCTGTTTATTTCTTCCATCCATTCATTCATTCGCATGTTTTTTTTTATACATCCATGCGCTTTCTTGCCCACTCCTGCTTGCGATGTTTTGTTGCCGATCCGCCTCTGGTCGTATGTTTTGTCAACGTATCCCCTTTTATCCTAAAAACAGCCGTCGATACTTCGCCCCGGATGTGTTGCTATCTGAGCTGCAACGCTGGCTCCGAGGTGTCTGACCTGGTTTGACAATTCACGCTGCTGATATGTTTAGCTGAGCCTCACGGGATGCGGCCCTGAGTGTCGGAAATCCGACAGGAAATTGCTGTAGTGGAGATATGCGACCTACATCGCCGATTAGACAAGTCCTGTTGTGCGAATATCAGCAGTTCAAAGGTGCTGTGCACTGCAGTAATCTCAACAGTTATAACATTCTGGTATGGCTGGCTAATTTGGCTGGTCCGGAGTGATGTTTGGGTATGAATGACAATCATTTAAAAATACGTTTGCTTCCATTACCATGCATGTGTTGACACACATCCATAAATGAGCATGTCAAGCTTCCTCTCCAGCGCTGTATTTCAGTGCTCCATTTTCTATATTCCCTAATTGGGCGTTGTGTGTCTCGTTTTCGGCGCTCCGGGCGCCTCGTTGTCTGGCCGGCCGGGCTGAGCCCCCTCGGCAGACGGTGACTTCATTATGCTGATCGACAGTGCCCGTCTGTGTGCCAACCTCTTCAGTCGCACGGCTCCTGGTAGAGCTGCGACGGCTCTCAGAAATGGCTCGGATTGCAGTGTCGGGGAACGGTATACAAAAGGACTCGGGAGGCGACGGTGAAACTTGCACTGCGTTGGAGATGGGCCTATTTTTGTCTACCATTGTGGTATAATTTAATGGCTTTGATAGGTAGCTTCATAGTTTATCCTAACACACTTACAACATTCTCTAAATCCGTTTGCCATGTGCTAATCAAGGTAAATCATAACATTTATTTGTATAAATATTTACTTACGTAACAAGGTATAGTAGCACTAAGGGAGAAGGCTAATGACCATTCATTTGGGCAAATAAGTTTTCAAAACGAGTAAACTTTTACTCTTGGCTGTTAACGCTCCACGCATAAGTTACTCATCCAAATATACCTACTTATGGATGGCGAGTCAAATATCAATTACTCTCCTCTCATTAGTACACTGAGAAAAAAAAAAATTATTCCCCAGGGGTGTTTTACGGGTGTCAGACACCATTGGAGGTGTCATCGAACACCCAGATTGGTGTTGAAAAATGCTGTTTAGGGAATCATTAAGGTGTACAACACCACGATGACGCCCTTTCAAGTGTTCGTTCGCATGCGAGCGTTTAGATATACCTTAATGGGATTCAGCATGACACCTTAATAGGTGTCCGACACCCACACCCATCCGGGTATCAAACACTCTAAGGTATCAAACACCCTAAAAGGTGTCAAAAATGTTCTTTTAAAAGCATCTGACACCCTTATGATGCCTTCACAGGTGTTGCCATTTATTGAAGCGGAATGTTAAGAGTGTCCGACACTGCTAGAGGTGTCACATTGACACTTGCAAAAGGATCTGACACCAAAAACAGCGTGAAAAAAATGAGGAAAAATATTCCCATGGGGTGTCTCACGGGTGTCGGACATCATTGCAGTGTCATATATAACGCCCAGATTGGTGTCAAAAATGTTGTTTTGGGAATCATGGAGGTGTACAACACCACGATGACAACCTTCAAGTGCAACGCGCTTTTAAACACACCATGATGGGATTCAGAAAGACACATTAATGGGTGTCCTACACCAACATCCATTCGGGTGTCAAACACCCTAAACCATCAACACTTCAAAAAGTGTAAACAAAAATGTTCCTTAAAAGGGATCTGATACCCTTGTGATACCTTCACGTGTGTTGTCATTTGTTGAGGAACATTCCAGCATGAGTCATGAAATGTTTGAAAGCTGTCGTGTATTCGAACCTAAATCATCACATAAATTGTTCTGACGTCACTTGTGTTAGGAACCAGGGATGCGGTGTCTAACGGATTTTCAGTGACTCGCACTCCCGCTCTGTCTTCCAAAATGGACTCCTATTCCGGCCAGAACTGCCAACTCCATCAGACTCCGACTCTGACTCCGTAGCACTGCTAGAAACCACAGCAGGTCCAGTGGTTTGAATCATTACCCAATCAGCAAGCTTCATTGTGTGACGTCATTTGTGTGCTAGTCACGGCGTCAACCATGCGAAGATCAAAAAGCGCCACCTTGCAGGAAAGCCGTTAGATTTCAGCGTATATATCTTTCCCGAGCGAAAAAAACAAACATTCCAGTTTTTTGGCGCTTTTGTTTCAATTGTGGTGGCTCTGTTCGAAGGCCCATACAGATGGTGTTTGCGCAAAATTTCTAACGGAAAATCCCCGACTATTTAGTGTCGACAGCTGCATATTAACTTTTTGAACACGCATCCATCACAGCTTGTTTATTGGCTGTCTGTGGTTTTGGGCTGTGTTGCTGTTGGTTGCTGTATATCAATATACCGTGTGTTGCTGGGTGATTGTGATAATATTTTGATGATTAACCTTTTTATTCAGCGGTAGAGAATTCTGAAAATCCCAGGGGGTGCCACAAACCCCTAATTATCCACCCCTGTTTTTTATTTTAAGTTCCATCCAGTACCAGTATGAGTGTTTATGGCAATGGAAGGTAGGTGAAACATTTCATTATTGTAATTTTAATCTTTTGAGACCTGAATTTCAACATTCTCTTGAGAGCCTGAGAGCATTCATGCCAAGGTTTCTGAGTCTGTTTCATGATAAAGAGACAATATTTATAATGGAGTCAACTTGTGGGTCAAGTCAGCAAAACTTGATAAATGAGTATGACATCACCTCTACACCTGTCGGCTCCTGTATTGTAGTGATGGCAGGTTCAATGCTGAGTCTCAGAATAATAGCCAGCGAGCGTATACCTACTGTTGTTTTGTATTTATATGCCCGATCGGCCCTAATGTGTAATGTCTTGCATTTCTAAATATTGAACTGTAATGAATGAGATGCTGTAATGAGGTACTGTAATGAAAAGACTGCCTCAGACTGAAAGGTTCTATTTAACCAAATATGACTGCATGTCTGCTACAGAATGAAACACTGACAAACACTGACACTGACATCAGGCACTGACAAAGTGAATGCACAAGAACGATAAGGACTTCTGGACTTCAGAGCAAGAGATACACCCTACGCTCAAGAACGCCGCTGTCACCACATATAGCATACAGCACCCGGTCGTGCCCATCATTAGCCTACAAGCCCCACCAGACGCTAACCGGCCACGATTTTACCGCCCTCTACGAAAAGCAGTCATCTCACTTTGCAAGCGACCTCTACTACGATAGAGGAATCGACAACTGGCAATCCGGCCTGATCGCGTCTCTCCGGTCTTACCACTTTGGCTATGCAGTGGTGGTAAACGGTAATGGGCTTCCGCGATTACCATAAGCTCCAGGGAGGTGCCATCCCCACACCTCCCCTGCCGTCCCTTGCATCGCCATCGTTCATCACAAATGGCGGAGCTTTGCAAGCTTTGCAATGTTCATCACATCGTTCATCCCATGGGCGGCGGCGGAGCTGGGGTACAGCCAGCTCTCGGAGCCGGCTGCCAGCAGGCCGGCGGTCACCAGCGCGGCAGCCACGGCGGCCGGCGGGCGGAGACCGAGCAGCGGCGGCACGGACACCGCCGGCTCCAGCGGCAGACCGGCCACGAACCGGTAACTGGCGACACACGGGGCGGGGACAGGGTGAGAGAGGTACGGGACACTGTATCGGGCATCAGCGACACACGGGGTGGGGACAGGGTGAAAGGGGTACGGGACACTGCATCAAGCGCCAGCAACACACTGGACGGGGCGAGCGGGCAGCAGCAGCAGAAAATGGGACGAAGACATGATGGTTGAGAGTGGCACGGGACACTGTATCGGGAACCAGCAGCATACGGGGAGGGGACGGGATGATAATTGAGAGGGGGGTACAGGACACTATTGGGGACAGCAGACATTCGTATCAGTCGATGGACGGGTGAAGTAACGAGATCCAAGTATATCGAGATCGGCGAATAAAGCGTGATATTGACTATCCATGACAGATTGGATAATGATGTAAATACCTAATTAGACCAATTAGGACAAATCAAATCTATTCAAAAACACAAAAACTCACCAAACGTATATCCTGGTCAGCATATTGACACAGTTGGCGAGGATAAATCCAACCCCGCCGAATAGCCTAGTAAAGATCCCTGTCGAGATGACGAATATCACACTTCACAGATAGCAGCACCATCTTCCGGTTATACCTGAAACACCGGAAAACGCCACAACACCTGTCAAAGCGCCCGATAGTAACGTTCCTAGCTTCACTTTATCGACACGACTGGCCAGCCTTTCCACTTCGCCTTTAGCCGCAAAAGGCAGTCTAACAACAAAAACCAACATGAGAACGTCATTTCCTAATCCGCTCAGCCTCTACCGACTAATTTACCTCACTCCTTACTAAGCCACCGACCATTTCCCGACTGCTTTCCATAAACCCTCCACGGCACTTACCCATCGATCTGTTCCTGGCGCATCACCGCGAACGTGTAGCACTCCAGCACTCCATTCACCGCCAGTAGGAGCACATAGGCGCACTGGGCGCGCAGCAGACTGACGGCCGGACCGGCGGTCAGCAGGGCGCCTCCGTACAGCCGCAGCAGCAGGTGGGAGTAGCTCCAGCCGAACGTGACGGCAACCAGACCGAGCAGGCTCATGGCGCGCAGCAGGTCGTGCAGAACCCGGCCCGCCGCGGCAGACACCGGCTGCAGGGAGAGGGGGTAGGGTCAGACTCATAGCGCGGAGTAGGTCGTGTAGCACCCGGCCCGCCGCGGCAGACACCGGCTGGAGGGGGAGGGAGCTGTCAGGCACCGGCTGGAGGAGAGGTGCCAAACTGTCCCCTTCCAGTGACTGGCGAGAAGGGGAGAGATGGCCAGAGGGATAGAAGCTGAGCAACAAAACAAACCGAATGACAAAAAAGACACCAAGATGAAGATCACAACGACTGGCAGTAAGGACTTATAGCGGAGATGAAGAGTAGCTACGAGTATAATTGGCTAATATCAGAGGAGTGTGTGCTTACAGCTTTTTCGGCGCCTCACCGGGCATCGACACACTGGTCAACGTTACTGATATTTTCACCAAATGCCACTACTCCTCAGTAATAAAAAACACACAAAAAAAACTAACATCAATCACCTCCTACCACACAATCAGCTACCTTTCCCCGTTCCACTGTGCGCGAGAAGTAGACGTAGGCGTTCTCCTCGACTGGCTGAAAGAGGAAGCGGGCCGCCAGGCTGCCCAGGTTGGCCACCACGTCGTACAGGCCCTGCTCGGAGAAGTCGAGCAGGTGGAAGGCGGTCATCAGGTAGCGCTCGCCCTCCGTCAGTAACTGCTTCAGCAGGCCTTGTTTGAAGAAGCTCCAGGTGAGGGCCAGCTGGTCACGGTCCAGCGCCGGCTGACGGGGAGGGGAGGAGAGGTATTACTGATCAGTGAAGAGAGATGGCAGCACGGGTCACATCGCCACCGTCGCGACAGGAAATGTTAGAGGCAGACGGGGTTGCTGGGAAAACGTGGCAGCACAACTTTGGCTCTATTTCTGAGGATACTCGATCCAGCGCTGCCGTGAGCTGTCTGTAACACAGGTAGGTCTTAATACCGTTTGACTGCAATCTAAGAGGCCTTAGACCCAAAGTTCTAGCTAAATGAAACGAAGAATGCGACGACTTGGCCAAAAGAAACCACTATGACCGCGAAAACGCTTGACTACATTTGAAACCCCGCCCCTTTACAAATATGTAGTTCACTGGCCTCACCTGTCCCGGCACCAGTCTGGGTCCCAGCTCGCTCGCCGACTTCACCGGTAGACAGTTATCCGGTGAGCGGACGTGCCAGAGCAGGGTGCCGTAATAGATGACCACGAGGAGAGCGGAGCTGACCGCGTGGCCCACACAGTAGGCCCAGATGGCGTGGGACGGGTACAGGGCGATCAGCCAGGCTTTGAGCGCCACCCGACTGCACAGACTGACCATGTCGGCTACCACCTTGGGAGAGAGGGAGAGCGGGTGGGTGAGAGAGTGGTGAGAGGAGATGGGGAGGGGCGAGAAGACGATAAGAGAGTCAGAGATAATCCACATATGCCAGCAAGGTAGGGAGAATGCAGTACTTCAACGCGGTGTGAACGATCGACGATCCGCAAACGACTGTCACAGCAGGCGATTTGAGCTTCGGATATAATTTCACTGATATAGCAGAGTCATCGGGGAACCGACGCGCCTCAAATATTTTCCCCTGACACCCTGTTCCTCTCCTCTGCGTCACCCCACCGCCGTCATTCACCTTCAATTTGACAAAGAGCATGGCCTGCGCCAGGATGACCAGCGGCTGGGCGGCCGTCTCCAGTACGACCATGGCCGCGGTGACCCACACGCCCAGACGGTACTCTGAGGTGACCTCGGGCGCCGGCTGGCTGAGCGCGTGCAGCCAGAGGCCGGCCAGCGCCGCCGACACCGCCGCTGACACGGGCACGCTAACAGGGGAGCGGGGCGTCAGTCAGAGGCAATTACAACACTGCTCTTTTGTAATACACTCAATTCACTGGCAATAAAACATTACATACTTATGTGCCTATGACGATCCCCACATCTGAAGAAATAAACGTCATTTATCGAGGCAATGACCTTTTAAAACCACTACTCCTCAACAGAACTGTGCCGATTAGCCGATTAGCATACCCATTGACTGCCTCCACAGTCCACATTCCACAACAACACCTGTTTTTGAAGTAGGTACCTATATCGACAGTTCCCAGCAAGCACATCCTAAGTGTCAAATCTTTGGAATTGAGATTTCTATACCATTCGACTCAGCTCGTCGAGCTGAGTAGAATGGTATGAAAATCACAGTTTCGAAAATTTGACACTTGGGATGTTCTTGCTGGGAACTGCCGATATGCAGCTTCTCCCAACAGCTGTGACCATTTCGAGTTAAACTGATGTCCGGACTGGAGCGATGTACCTGAGCCACACCAAGTTGATGGCCTGGCGCCACTTGCTGCTCTCTGTCACGCCCAGCGCCGCCCGACGGAAAGCCTCCACACTGACAAAGGTGGCAGTCGAGTAGAGTAGAGCCAGCCTGGGAAGCAGACTAGGGCTTCAGAACTTTGAACAGAATTGATTTACCTACTTTAAAACTACACTTAAATAAAGAACTGAATGTCAGTCAAAAGGAACAGGTAAATCGGTACATGCTTATGAAGATAACCGTATATTACTTCATTTTATACAATAACTAGAAAATAAGAACAAACTCTGTTCAACTA